TGGGGCTAGCACCCTACCCTTTTGAGCCATAGGCGCTGCCCGGCCATCTTGTCTTAACTAGGGCTTTTTATACAACCTTTTTTTTCCTTGTTATGAGAAAATTATGATACAATATTTAGGGCCTAAAGTCCTAGCTCTGTACTTTTGAAATTTATTTATTTATTTATTTTTGTAGATAGAGCCTCAAGCTATCCCCCTGGGTAGAGTGCTGTGGCATCACAGCTCACAGCAATCTCCAACTCCTGGGCTCAAGCGAGTCTCCAGCCTCAGCCTCCCAAGCAGCTAGGACCACCGGTGCCCGCAACAACGCCTAGCTATTTGTTTTGGTTGCAACCATCATTGTTGTTTGGCAGGCCAGGGCTGGATTCAAACACGCCACCTTAGGTGTATGTGGCTGGCGCCTTAGCCACTTGAGCCACAGGTGCCGAGCCTACTTTTGAAATTTAAATTTTCTGCCTTGTTTCTGCCTAGGAGTCATCTTTTTATTTATTTAGTTTTGAGGGAGTCATCTTTTCAGAAGGTAAATTGTTGAATATCTAACAATTGCTTAGGACAATAAAAGAGGTAATTAAAAGATTGAAAATCTCAATAAAATATATATTTAAAAGCCAACAAATAAAAATTGTTTCTATATAATCGCCTACACATTCATATGAATGGTAAAACTTAACTATAGTCCAGAAAGTAGAAGGGAAGAGGAGAGAGAGGGAAGGGGAGGAGGGAGGGTATTTGGGGGGACCTCACCTAATGTATATGATGCAATGGTACACTGGAAAACTATTAAGAAAAGAATATAATTGTGATGGATGTGTTACTTAGTTCAATGTAAGCATTTCACATTGTATATCAAATCAGTACACTGAAACCCATCAATGTACACAGTTGTGATTTAATAAAAAAATAAATTAAAAAAATTGTTTCTGTCTGCAAGTCTGTATGTTTGTGTGTCTGTTCATGTCATGTGTATGTGATATATCATGACCCAAATATGCAAAAGAGCTCTTAATTAATTGGCTTTAAAAAATAAGTGCCTGGGGAAAATGGCGGCTTTGGGAGAGAGCAGGACTTTGGGTGTCGGAGGCAGCACAGAAGAAGCATTTATGACCTTCTACAGTGAGGTGAAACACATAGAGAAGAACCATTTTTTAAACTTGATATCACACAACTAGTTTTTTGTTTTTGCAAGATTAGTGAATAAGGCGAGAATTGTCCTTGATTGT